TCGGTGGCTGACTAAATACTTTTTTGCCCCACTGTATTTCTGGCACACAGTATTCCTTACCGAGGCTTTTTGCTTTCAAATCTCTTCTCCTCTGTCTTTGCTGAAAGGAGAGTGCTTACTGCAGAAAACAATAGTGCGACAGTGTGTCAGCTCACAGGACAAAAATAGATATAGAAACAGCTTTAATTACTTGCACACCAGAAGGAACATGTACTCACTATGGAGAACTGTGTCAGCCCTGTTTTCTAAAATATTTTTCTAGGAAGAGGAGAAATACTGCTGTGATTTATTGAAACATGTGCAGCGTACATGGTTGATCAAAATCAGACAGTGTTTTTCTGAATCCATCCCTTTTGACAAGATCCTTTGACGTGATCCTAAACCACGACAGAGCCTCCACCGTGTTTTACAGGTAGCTGTGGACGCTCACTGTCCCTCTGCCTTCTCCTCCTGCTACCAGTGAACAGTACATGGATCAACTGAAGGCAGATGCATCTCTCAGGCCCTGTGTCATTCTTTGCTGGATTTTTCCTGTTTCTTAAGGACATGACTTTCAGATGCTGTTCATCTGCTGTAGACATTTTTTAGCCCTGACACTTCTTCACTTTTCTTCCACTTTTCCAGTTGCCTCAGATTTTATTAAGGCACATTGCACAGACTGCTGAGATATGCCAAATGTTTGCATAACAGGTGCAAAAATACTATTTTTTGCCTGTCAAACTGTGTTATCTTTGACATTTTTCACAGATTCAACTAAAGAAATGGAAACAAATTATGTGGGGTTTTCTGCAACAAGCTTCTAGTAACAGAGGATATAATTTAAAATTGTTTCTCTGCTAAGTTATCTGTAATGTGCAGACACAAAACTGGTTCACCTAATGAGTTAAGTGGCTTTTTAATGCTTGAATGATTCATAGGTCAATTTTAAGTAGCTTAACAAAGAAATCTTCCTCTAAATATTATCACGTACAAAGACCGGACTGAAATGAAAAATGTCCGAAGAAATAATTTGAAAGGCTTCCTCAAAGCCTGGTGAACAATTGCAAAGTCAAATATTAAAATAAAATCTGGATCCTTGTGAATAAAATATAAAGAAATGAGGGGTGGCTTAAAAAACTTAACTTAAAATACTGACAATGCTCTATTTTTTCAACCATATGTTATTATTTTTGTGGTTTCACTGATTTCTTTAAGCATTTAGCCTGAATAAAAATTGTTTTTCAGACTGAAAGTTAAAGAAATCAGTTAACCCAAACAATAAACTTATTACTAATCATTTAAGAAAATAATTTCCAGATTAACTGATAATAAATAATAATCCGTGAATGTAGATCCACGTCTCCAACAGATCTAGATCAGCAGTGGTTTAATCTTTTGTCTCTTTCTGTTAGTTGGAAGAAGATGAAGTCAGGAGGAGATTGTTAATGTTGCACTGGAGCCAGATCTCCTCTGCTGGCACACTTGGCACAGCTTTAGTTTCCTGCTGTAGTGAATAATTTTGGCAGGTGCAGCGTCAGCACGAAATCAACAAACCCTACGTGCTGTTTCTTTTGTATTGTCAGCCCCAGTGAAATGGTGATTGTTGTATTTGCAGTTAAATTGTGAATAAAATGCTCTATCAGAGCAAAATAAACGCCATTGTTGCCATTAAAACCTGATTATATAGTGCAAGTATCAGTGTACAGACCTATCACTTGATTTAGACAAGTGCATCACATCTACAAGCCAGTTTTGTGAACATGGTTTGAGAGGTTGTGGAGATTATGAGTTTTTCTGTTACGTCTGTTTTCTATGTGAGCATTTCTGATTTTCTTTACCTGTTCCTATGTTGGTTATTAGGTTTGTCTAAAACCAAGAAAGCACGAATATCATCAGGACGTCAATTCAGTGTGCTGCAGTGCTGTTTCTTTTCTACAGCTGTGTGAAGTCTCACTTTTTCTCTCAGAAAATGTTCTCGCCGCCTATATTAGCACATTAACATGGGGATAAAAATATTTAGAGCAATGACACAGAGTTGGAAAACCTACAGCGCCGTTCGCCTCAGAATGAAGCATCTGTGGAAACATCATCGAGCTATTATTAGTTATTCATCCTTTAACCCTGTGAAAAGAGGAATGTAACCGGATTTTGAGCATGTGTGCTGCAAAGCGGCTTCCTTTATGTGACTAACTGCAAGCACATTGCTATTTTTCGGAGCTCAGCTGCTGTCGTGATGATGAGTTTGATGTCAGTATCAAAGAGCTGAAGATGTCCAGTTCTGTCTGATTTGCCTCGTTTTCTTTCTTTCTGTCAGGTTCTGCAGTGACAAAAGTGTGACCGCTCAGATCCACACGCACACACGTCATAAGAAGTCTTACGCAAGAGTTTTGACTCTGTGCCTGCTCGACATTGTTCTGCTCTTCAGGCCTTTTTTACTCAAAAACAAAATCCTCGGCCCTGACCTGAAACCACCATGTCTGGGAAGGAGCGCAGCCCCCGCCATCGGCCATGGTCGGTCTACCGGGCTAATACGTTTGATCTCTCTGCTGAGATGATGGGGTTGGCTCTCTCAGGTAACCAAGTAACTGCTACCATGGTAACCTTACTTCATTGATAACAAAACTGTAAAGAGCTTCTGCTCATCTCTGTTTCGCTCTCTTCCCCACAGGCAGCAGTCAGGACCCTGATGAGCCGGTGCTGGAGTTCAGCGTGGGTATGTTCAGGATGTGTTTGTAGATATTGTTGCTGCACCTTACTGATGCACCAGACTGTTTATTATGTTCTACTAGAATTAATATAGTAGTGTTCAAATTATTTTATTTTGATCGATCCACAAATGCACGAGCATTTATGCAGCTAATGCTTGATATCAGAGTCCCTGTAGAAGTAAGACTCCCAACTCAGCAGCCATCTTGGAGACACCCATAAGCACTTAATTTGGCAGTTAATTTAATTAGTCACAGCACAATAAAAATCCCCACAATAAGGAAATATTGAAACTTTTTTTGAACTCTTAAACCACATATCATCTTCCACTGCTGTCTCTGGATTTTGTCTCTGTTGATGTTCCTTAATCCTCTAAAACATATTAACAAGTCACAGTGCTGCCAACACTCCAAAACCAAAAACTCATTTACGCATCACATGTCTGCAAGTCCACAGCTGGTTAACTCTTCTCGAATGCATTGTTTGGGTGTTTCAAAATGATTCCTTTGACATAGGGATGCATCATCCAGAAAGCTACACTAATCTGTCATTAAGACTTTGGAGTAAGGTGCTGCTTATCCTCAACTCTGTGCAGCATTTAAGCATTTTTTAGATTGTCCCACTGCTCAGCATAAATTGCTAGATGCAGATGCAGTGAGACAGACATAGACAAAAAGCAAACCTTTATTTAGGATGATTTGAGAGGCCAGAATTACAAAGTCTGCAAGATGGTGAGGAAGCTGAAACCCACAGTTAAGATAACAAGACACAGATGAACATCATCATAGACAATGAGACAGACGAGGAAGTTAAATGAAGTAAAGTTAAACACGGGACACTAGAGACAAGTATCAAAATAAAACAGGAAGTGAAATATAGACACATGAATGAACTTAAAATAGTGGAGTTGACACAGAATGGTACAGGAAAATACTGAGGAGCAGTATTAAACTGAAACTATGAACCAAAGATTTAATACACATGAAAGTCAAGGTGAAAAATGATAAACAACAAGGAGGAGAACATCTTGAATAAGAACTCTATATCCAAAATACTATCTTCGTTTTTTTTTGCAGCTGGTTCAGCTCGCTGTTTTCAGTGAACACTGATAAAATCAGCTAGTTAGTGAACATTTAAGAGCATTTCGCAGCTGAAGAGCCAGAAAGTTCCCTAATAAGCAGTAAGAGAGCAAAAAATAAGACAGAGAAAGAAATGAGGCAAGAAACAGAAACTAAGGGGATAATAGTTTAGCAGTTTTAAAAAAAATATTAACTGGCTAAAATGTTTTTAATATTCCACTTTAAAACATGATGATTTGACTGTGATGCTGTGTTTTTGTTTTTTCATTCTCAGTCAGTTTAAGAAAAACTCATAAACATGATGTGTCCCCATAATTACTGGCTCCTATTTATTTTTTATCCACTAAAAAATTACTCAACAGCTGCTGCTTGTCAAGTACTAACTACTCCAACATACTATATTTAAATCCTCCCATTGCTACAGATTACAGACCATCCCACTGTTAAATCCCCCAGTATGTAATCGCCTGTATTTAAATGTCCCTGCAGCCTGCAGTGAGCTGGTGACTCCTGCACTGGACCGTAAGCCGACCAGCTTTGTGGCCGTCAGCTGCACCACTCCGCCCCAGGCCTTCTGGACTAAACACGCTCAGACTGAAATCATAGAGGTATGCTACCTTCTACCTCACTGTCACTTCCTGCCCGCGGTTGGATGCTTACACAGCCTTTTCCCCTCGTCTCTCTGTCTTCAGGGCACCAGTAACCCCATCTTCCTGAGCAGTATAGCTTTCTTTCAGGACTCTCTGATCACTCAGCAGACGCAGGTCAAGCTTTCAGTCTACGACGTAAAGGACCGCTCACAGGGCACGGTAACCCCACCCCACCCCACCCCGCCAAGACAATTTCTTACAAAGTCAATAAACTGTCTTTAGATTTTCCATTGCAAAAGTAAATAATGCTCTTCTTTAACAAATCCTTCGTAGTTGACGCTCATCTGGGTAAAACCCTCTAAATCCTTTCGGTTTGCCTGCTTTTATGTGACAGATGTACATGCTCGGCTCTGCCATGTTCTCCGTGAAGGAGCTGCTGCAGGACAAGCACCACAGACTGCACCTGACTCTCAGGTAACAGGCACGCAGAGCACAATGGGACTTTTCCGTGTTACGAACTGCAGGTTGCATTTGGGTTTTTCGGGACGTTGCACTGACTTGGTTATCGCTTGATTTGTCAGGTCAGCGGAGAACGAGCGCGTGGGCAACATCACTGTCATTGCCTGGCAGATAGAGGAGAAACGTGAACAGAGAGCTCCTGTCGCAAGATTACAGAGGGGGGATACTGTTAATGGAAGGGTAGGAATTCACAAAAATGACTTTCGAATGAGACTTTGTTTTATTTTTAATATTTTCCGGATGTCAAAGTACATGAAACATACCAGGAATAACAGCCACGGGCTTGTGAATGTGCTTGAATTCATTAAAACAATATAGATTGAACTTCAATTTTATTGAACTTCCTGCTTTTTCTGACTTTTTTGGTAATGTAAAGGTCAGCAGCACATCCTTCTTTATGCAAACATTGTTGTTTATGTGTGCATCAGATGGTTCTGCCTGTGGATGAAAGCCTAACTGAATCCATGGGCATCAAATCCAAGTCGTCCTCTTTGTGTAAAGATCCGCTGCTGAAGGCTGGTGAGTGTACTCTTATGTGAGCTGTTGCTACTCCGAGTTATGGGAAAGTTTCACAACCAGTAACATGTAGTTTGCTGGCAGTAACAATGGCAGTGCTCATTTATATTTTTCCTTGTTTTAGTGTTTGGCGGCGTCATGTCACGAACGTACCGTTTCCCCACTACGGATGGTAACCACCTGCGGATCCTGGAGCAGATGGCAGAGAGCGTCCTCTCCCTGCATATTCCTCGACAGTATGTCAAACTGCTGCTGGAGGAGGATGCTGTCAGGTATAATGTGAAAGATGCGTTGATGCTTTTTGAATTGATGCCAACATCTAATAAATGTGAACCTTTTAAGAAAGCGTTCTCTACGTGCTACCATAGACTGTATATAAACGATGGACGTGGTTCTGTATTGTCGCCAGTTGGTTTGTGGATTTTGAAGCCTCTGGTTTAGTTTTTACCTTCTTGGTATTTTGAAGCTGTAAGTGATCACATTTGCATAGGAGGCTGGATCGCTAAGCTATCAGGTTAAACTAGCATGTTTGGTTGGCACATGCTTCTTGTTTGTACAGTTAGCTTTTACATTTTAAATACTCCACAACTTCACAAACACGTGTAGGAGCAGAGATTCAAATTAGCTTAGGTGATGCCTAGTAAGCAGATGTTTTGCCATCCATCTATCTGTGTACCCACGCATTGATCAGTGAATTACTTTAAGTCAGTTTATTGGTTTCAGTGTCTTTGTTTGCAATTAATCATTTTGTTCATGGACTGAGAATATTCTTGATTGTTTTAGTTCGTCTCCCAATATTCTCAGTCTTAGAGGCTATTTCTTTGTTAATGCCTCCTAGCAACTTAAGCAGCTTCTTTCTGTCTTTCTCCCAGCTGATCTCTTTTCTGGTGGGCTGCTGCCTCAAAGCAGCATTTTCTGCAGCCACCTCCTGGTTTTCCTTCTTTGAGTCTAGAAGGGCTTGTTGCAGGCTGTGCAGCATGCTGTTGGGAGCATGTGCGTGTTGCTGGGCAGCAAAATCAGGCTCATTTGTTTCAAGTGACTGAAAAACACAAAGTACACATGTGACAGGTGAAAATGCTGACCCATCTCAATGCTGTAAACACTCAAAAACATAGGTCTTAACTCACACAACTGAACCGTTTTAGCTGTTTCAGTAAATACAGTCACTCAACGCTGAGAACAAATATTAGCAAGCATCTGTATAATAGTCACAAAGTTGTGTCATACAAACTGTAGGTAAATAAAAAGGCATTCAGACCTGAGATGATGCAATAAACTGTTACTTCGCCTGTTGCATTGTCGCTTTTCTCCATATTGCCTAAACACAGACAGTGTAGACCTTCAGTTTTTCTCCTGGTTATTTTCTTCAGTCTTATTTCTGTAATTGTTCAAATGGTATGATTCTGGTTTGGACTTCAGACTGTAATTGATGGAATTCTTCACAATTTTACATCAAAATATTATTATGTCCTGTTTGATTGAGGGGATCAAAGTGCTGTAGTTGTCATAGCAACCCAGTTTGTTTGCTCTGTGTAAGGAAAACTTAAACTTGTACAAGTAAGTTAATGTAAAAAAAAATTTTAATGGTCATGTTATGTAGCCAGCAGTACCTAAAGCTATGTAGCGGACACAATCATCTGTACGTATAAAATGTAATCATCCACACAAAATAAATTTTGCATTCATGTCTGAAGGCCGTAAGTAGTGATTTGGCTTCAGCTTTATGAATTTATATGAATACATCTCTTTTTATCCCCCTTCTCTAAAAATACAGTAATTTGATGCTGAAGTCAAAGCAGTCTTTTAAGATCACAGTTTGTTTAGGTCATAAATATTAAGGCATAAAACAAAGCTATTTAATACAGACACTTGGGGGAAAAAAATCTGATAGATTCCAGTTTGTGCTTGTAAACAGGTAGTTTTCTTTTCATCTTATACAGGCTTCCCTTGGGCAGTGTTATTAGAAAACATTGCACACATTTTGCAGATGATACACAGTAATATGTAAGTATCATCTATGATATGCAGATAATGCAGAAGCCAGTCGATGCAAATCACTTATTTAACTACAGGCATGTCTTAAAGACATAAATGCATCCTGTGATTTTCTTCTACTAAATTCAGACAAGAAGGACATGATTGTACTCGACCCTAAAGAGTCAGAAAGATGGCGTCTAACTAGATACTTACTCTGGATGACATTACCCTGACCTCCAGTAACACTGCAAGAAATCCTGAAGTTATTTTTATATATCAGGATTTGCCCTTCAATGCACACATTGCACAAATATGCAGGATTGCTTTCTTTCACCTATGCAATGCTGCTAAAATTAGAAACATCCTTTCTCAAAGTGATGCAGCAAGACTACTGACAGGGATGAGAGATCGTATTTCTCCTATATTTGCTTCTCTTCGTTGGCTCCTTCTAAACCGACGATTGAATTTAAAGTCCTTCTCCTCACAAGGTCATCCCTTAGTTATACTGCTGTATCCTCAGACTGCTGCAAGACTCCCCATATGTTAATATGCCACTGCTGTATCCTCTCTTTGTTTCTTTCCCCTAAACCCCAACTAGTGACGTGACAGCAGATGGCTTCTACTCCCTGACCCTGGTTTTGTTGGAGGTTTCTTCCTGTTAAAAGGGGATTTGATTGTAGGGGTTTTCTCTCTGATACTGTAGGATCCGGGGTGCCTGTGTTTGAGCTTTCCAATAAAGGTGACACAGGCCATTCCATATAAATTAGTCCACGTAAATTACTAATTACTGTAATTTATTTATTTGTGGTGTTATTTGCTCCTTTAACTTTGCATTCTTATTATAGTAATGCTGTGTTTTTGTTAGATTTGTGAAGCTCTTCTAGATGCATCTTACTTTTTATTTTTTTACAACCTTTTTCCCTGTCAACAAATGACACTTATGAGGAATCTAACCAAGCGTGTACTTTTCACAGATTGTTTCGATTAAATAATAACTGCTTGAGGGTAAAACGCTGCTTAGTATTCCGAACCCCAAAAATGGCAAAGATTAGAGAAAATGGTTTGAAGAGATATCTGCAGGCTTCCCCTTAATGGTTGACTTTAATGTCTGTAACTGCTTTACTGTTACGTTCATTTGCTCGTTCAGTTTATAACTGAATGAGCAGCACAAAACGCACTCTGTGAGCAGGTCCGTGCATCGGCTGGATGCACTGATTGTTGCTGCATGTGCAGGGTGTGCGAGCTGGAAGAACTGGGTGAGCTGTCTCCATGCTGGGAGAACCTCAGGAGGCAGATCATTACTCAGTACCAGACCATCATCCTCACCTACCAGGAGACCATAAGTGACCTGCATGAATATAAGGGTTAGTTCCATAATATACATTGTAAAGGGCCATTACACTGATTTTAAATGTCAAAATTAGTCTTGCACAATGTGACCAAAATGTATTGTTTTACAATTGGGGATGTTTCCTGATGTCAGGAAGTAAACAGCATCAACCCCCTAATAAGATAAATGTTACAACATTTAAAATATAGCCTTTCTGACATCATGTACAGCTGTTAGCGGTTTTTAGTCATTATTTTCTCCATCTCTCCTTACACAGAATCACAAATAACTGCTTTTTCTCATTTCTGCTGCCCCACAGGTCCGTCATTTAAGTCTAGCACCTTGAAAGCTGAGAGGAAGTTGGAGTTCATCCCCACTAACCTACATATCCAGAGGATGAGAGTACAGGGAGAGTCTGGTTACGGTACGAATTTGTCTACAAATGTTTAATGCATGCTTTCTGTAACTTAATATTCATATTTTTCATGGATTTCCTCCCTTCTTAATTTTATTTTCTAACCTTTAATCAGACCGGACGTACGACGTAGTAACTATTGGTGCGCCTGCAGCACATCACCAAGGCTTTAAAGGCTGTGGTCTCCGAAAGCTGCTGCACAAGCTCGAAGAAGCCAGGAAACAGTGAGTTGTTTGAAGCTTGCGTGAGGATTTGGTGGTTGTTTTTCATTTGAAGTTTATAACAAACCTTTTTTTTTATTCAATCAGAACCCATGGAGAGGAGGGGTAAGGTTCTCTAAATACTATTACAAGTTTTAAAAGTGGATAAAACCAAACCACACTTGTTTCTCAAGTAACCTCTTTTTCTTTCTTGCACATGCATCAATGCACGCCTGCTGCTCTGCTGGCTCCAGCTCTAAAGCAATGGCATACCAGCCTCAGGATGTTGTAAAAGCAAAGGAGCTGATTGGTCAGATTAACACTCTTAAGACACAAGTGTGTTACTACACTGAACGTCTGTCCCGAGCTGCCAAGGAGCGCTCAGCCAATGCTTTGGAGAGAACTCTGGCCATCCTAATAGAGAAGGTAAGACTGAACTGCAGGGATACTTAATATGTACAGTACTGTGCAAAAGTCTTAAGCCACCATATAACCATATAAATAATAAGACAACGTGTTGAATGAAGAGTTCAAAGCGTTTGCACCATTTTACTTCGCTAGAAAGTCCATATTTGGTATGACCACCTTTATTCTTTTTCAAAAGTGCTATTTTATGCCTGTCGAACTGTGTTATATTTGGCATTTTGACAAATTTAACAAAAGCAATGGAAAGAAATTACAGTATGTGTTTTGTGATTAGTGTCTAAATTTGCAAATTAGAATCAGCTCTTCAGTTTTATCTTATATGTAAACACAACACCAGTTCATCCCTTGATTTAGGTTCCTTTTTTGTGCTTGAATGATTAATAGGTCAGTGTTAATGGGCTTAACAACCAAAAACACATTCGTCTGTCAACAGTCAGGTACAAGGACTGGACTGAAAGTCTCCAAAGAAATACTTTGAAAGACTTTCAGAAAGCCTGGAGAACTATTTTTGAAGACCAGTTAATAAAAATTGCAACATCAAAATAAAAAGGTCATTAGAGTTAAAGATTCATTAGAATTAAAAGACAATACAGGAAAGGAATCTAAAAACCTGACAAACTAACAAGGACTGAGGGAACTCACACAGATTAAATCCACACCAAGCAGAGAAAAGCACAGAGTAAAAACATAAAAGGTGACATAAAGAAAAAAACTTTCAACATAAAACAGAAAGTGACTGGAAGAGACACACAGGAGAGGGCACTGAAACCACAGAGAAATGAAAAAATAATAAATGAATGATGTTGCAGATTACAGCCAGTGCACTAGCACTATATATCACGACAATGCTGACATCACTGTGACTGCCAGGCAACCTCTGACTCACACAAACACAGACTGACCAGGATGAAAATATAATTCAGTTTCATTTTATTACCTTTAAGAGCCAGTTAATAAATGTTAATCTGTTAATGTGTTAACGTGCTTTCATGTAATGTCTGTAGTGTAACATTTCTCAGTATAACTTATCCGTCTCCGTCTGTCCTGCACCGCTGCTCCTGTAGACTCGTCAGCTCGTGACCGTGTGCGACTCCAAGCTGCTGTCCACAGCCATCGTGGCTCTGGCAGCAGCCCGCCCAGAGTTCTCTCAGCAAAGCACCCCGTCGCCATCCTCCTCCTCCCTCTCGCCCTCCTCTCGCTCTCCGTCCCGCTCCCCCTCTCGTCACCCCACCTCGCCCTCTCGTGCTACCACCTCACCCTCTCGCCACACAGCTCCTCTGGAGGGCAGTGAAGGGACTAAAAACAAGCGCGCTTCCATGCAGGCGGATTTGCATGAAGAGGAGTGGGTAAGAGAGGAGTCCATCTGCCACTTTTGGTTAATAATGTTTTTTATATGCATGTATATATGTTTGATTTGATTGATGGTTATTTGTGCAGGAGAAGATTTGGCTAAACGTGGATAAAAGCTTAGAGTGTGTGATCCAGAGAGTGGACAGGCTGCTGCAGCGGGACAAACTCCAGAGTGACAGCAGCTCTGAGGACGTCTTCCTGCTCGCCAGTGACGAGCCGGGTAACGCTAAGAAAGGTAAACGCACGTAGACAAGAGGTTTTTTGCATGAATCCACGTACTGAGTGAGCGCAGCCGTCTAATATGAACAAAGGTACAGGTATAAACTTTCAGGAGTCTCTAGTCGTCATCATCATCATCATTATCATCCCTCTCAACAATCTGAAGCAGACCCTGGCATGCTGTCTCAGTCCTGTTAATCATCTCTATTGTTTAACAGCTGAAATAAATCTTTAAGATACAAGTACAAGTGGAAATCTCTCCATATCTAAACATTTTTATGTTCTCTCATTTGCAGAAAGCAGCCCAGAGGTTGAAAAGTCATCCCCAGGTAGGAGCACTGTTTCCTTTACGAACAGTAGGTACATGAAAAAGTATCACAGTGCAAGAACCGATGATTAAAAAGAGGCAGAGTAGATTAAAAAACACACACAACTGTAATTAGAAGGAAAAAGACATCACATGTAATGTCACATGTAAGCAGATCTTTAAAAGAGGAGGCAAAAACACGGTGTCTTCAACATTCTCAGTCTCAACTTTGGAACAGCCAGGAGGGCTGCAGGACCCGAGGCTGCTAGCTGGTTAAATAAAATGTTTCTGCTACATAGCCTGGGCCCAGATCTAGACCTGCTTTGAGGGTGATCAGTATTAAATTAAATGATAAAAGCCTATAGTGAGATTGTGGAGAGAGCCAGGATAGCAGCGATGTGATAGTTTCTGCAAAAAGCAGCAACATCTGATAGAATCAGGAGAGATCTCTCACTTTTACACTGATGTTTGACTGGTGCAGGCAAAAAAAACCCTTTTTTTTTCTGTAATTCTTTTGTTCATCCTCCAAATTATTGCTATTTTTAAATAAACCAAAAAAAAGAAAGATGTTTAATGAAAACTGCACAAATCATTTTATATTTGCAGACACTGTGGGTTTGCAATTTCAGGATTTCAGGATTTCTGATAGAAACGTCCTCTCAAATCCCTGCAGGTGAGTGGAGCGACGCCCTGTATCCTCTCCTCACCACTCTGACAGATTGCGTGTCTCTGATGAGCGACAAAGCCAAGAAAGCCATGGTGTTTCTGCTGATGCAGGACAGCGCCCCCACCATCGCCATGAGCCTCACCCTGCAGTACCGCCGCGACGTTGTCTTCTGCCAGACGGTCTGCCGCTAACTGCTATGACTGTTACATATACAGTGCATGAAACCCGTGCACATGTAGGCTTGGACGTTTGTCATTACTCAACGATTGTGATGATGTGATGTGTGCCGTTTACAGCTCACCGCTCTGATCTGCGGCTTCATTTTAAAGCTGAGGAACTGCCTCTGTGACTCAGGCTTCCTCAGGCAGCTGCACACCATCGGCCTGCTGGTGCAGTATGAGGGCCTGCTCAGCACTTATGGTAACTTTGTTTGTGCATGTTTGTGTATATAGAAATACGTAAAATCACAAAAGACTGTGTTCCACTAATGTCTTCCACTAATGTCAAAGAGGATGCTTAGTCTGAACAGTAATCCTCATCAAGATCTCCATCAAATTACACAGAAAATATTGTTATTATTATTTTTAGTAAAATTATTTTTAAAGCATTGCACTTCAAATAATAATAAGAATGAAAAAACTATAATTTCTATAGTATAATTTTTTTAAAGGTAATAGTTGACTTATGATCTGTTTAGAGGTACAAAAATTCAAAAGCTGCTGAAAATCCAATAAAAAACTGGTTACAAAGCTTCCTTTAGCAAACTAAGTTTTGTGTTTTTGAATGTCTTTTAATATTAAAAGTCAATCAGAATTGACTCCCTGTCCATGGCCTGATTTTGCTGTTTGTTGTTCTTCCTGTGCCACATAAATGAAGGCGAGGAGCTGGCCATGTTGGAGGACATGAGCGTCGGAGTGATGGACCTGAGAAATGTCACCTTTAAAGTTACCCAGGCAACTTCTGGTTTCAGCCCCGACATGCTGCCGGTGATTACGGGGAACAGGAGCGGCTTTAACGTCAGGGTCCCGATGCCCGGGGCGATGTTTGACATGCTGCCACGAGAGATCCAAAATGGGATGCTGCTGCGAGTTCAGCCCGTCCTGTTCAACGTTGGCATTAACGAACAGCAGACTCTGGCTGAGAAGTGAGTCACTGAGACTAGAGGGCAAGAAAGGTAGAAAGAGATACCCATGCCAAGCTTGATAGGTCAGTCGGAAAAAGGCCAGTGGGCAGCACATTCGGCTTCAAAGCATATTTTTAAACCTCTGGCTGAATGAGGCTTGTTCACTGCATGGTCACTGCATAAATGTTCTCTCTTGCAAGACAATTTTTGATTGTTCTTAAAAAAATGACTGTAAAGACGAGATTTTAAGTTACTAACATTTAAAAACTGGGTTGATACATATGTGCGCTCGTTTTTATTGATGTTGCATTAAACTTTGAATGGCCGTGCTGGAAGTGAACCTCCTTCAGTACAGAAAAGCCAGACAGCAGCAGGCTATGTGTTATATTAATGAAAACTTTTAACTCTTAAATCATGCTTGTGTGCAGGTTCGGAGACACATCGCTGCAAGATGTCATCAACATGGAAAGCATGACTCGCCTCAGCTCGTACTACGACCAGTTTAAAGAGGTTCTTCCAGAAGACTGTGAGTGAAATACATAATTTATTAGTGAGAAAAGTGTATTTTCCCTCCTTTTTTTGTTCTTTGCTCACCACTCGTCCTCTGTCATCTCCTCAGGTCTCCCTCGCTCTCGTAGTACCACCAGCGTGAACGAGCTGCTCAAACTGCTGAGCCAGAACGTGAACGCCAAGAAGAACAAGAACGTGGAGATCCTGTGGCAAGCAGCTGAGGTAGACTCATCATCACCGCCTCTAATTCGAGCCCCTGAAGCATAAAAGCTCTGTCTCCTTCTTCTAATCTCTTCCTCCGAATCCCCAAAGGTGTGTCGCCGCTTGAACGGAGTGCGTTTTACCAGCTGTAAGAGCGCTAAGGACCGCACGGCCATGTCTGTGACCCTGGAACAGTGTCAGATCCTGCAGCAGGAGCACGCCCTGGCCCCACAGGTCTTCTATCAGGCCTTGGACTGTATGCGCAGGTCAGTATCTGCACCTAAAACACACTGGAAAAATAGTAATTTGCAAAAAAAAGGGAAAAAAAAACGTATGACTTCTGTCTCACAGCGAGGGCTGCAGGAGAGAGAACACCATGAAGAATGTGGGATGTCGTAAATATGCCTTTAACGCCCTCCAGCTTAAGGCCTTTCCCAAACAATACCGCCCTCCAGAGGGGACATATGGGAAGGTCGAAACCTAAGCGGACTCTGCTATTTGGCAGAAACCAAAAGACTGAAAGGGGATGAAGAAGATGGCGCCACACAAACAAAAGCACCAACACAAACTGGAACAGCAGCCCTTTGTTCTGTGCTTAGTCATTGTTAAGATAATAAATGTCCAAGTGCCAGTGCTCACTGTAGATCATTTTCTAGCAGACTCCTGTCCCCTCTCAGTAGTATTAGATTCAAACACTTTTCACACATGCTTCACAGCCACAGTCAGCGTTCTGTGTTACTTTGTAGCCAGTGTGCAGACAGTGTTTGCTGCTGTACCAGTTGTAGCATCGGGAAGCGTACAGTCTCTCTGGATTTATTTTAAGGAGACGTGCAAAAGCCTTTAGCGTTTTAGAAGAAAAAAGATGTGGCACACAGGTGTATTTATACTCAGCAGAGCAGCTTTTGTTGACGCTATCACGCCATCAGTTAAGAAGTGAGACTGCTGATTATCTACAAAACATAAAAAGCATTGAGCCCTTTTCAGACATTGGATTCCCACTGGCTTTACCTAGTGTGTCATTGACACAAAAGTCATTTTACTTTTCACGTTCATCACATAAATCACTACTTTCAGTTGCTCCCTTATCCCAAAGGGTTCACCACAGCAGGTAGCTCTGGATGTATGATCTGTTTTCTTTCCTGACTCAATCCCAAAGAAGAGTTTGTATCACCAGCTGGATGTGAATCTGAAACGTTTTGCTTGGCAAGCACACATGTGTAAACCACTACACTAACAGAGCCTCAGACATACTGTGGGGGTAATAATCATTTGATCCCTTGCTCAATGGAGAGAGACAGAATATGAACCAAAAATCCAGAAAAAAACCTAAAGCCTAAAACAACTGAAGTCTGCTGATTTCTGGATTCTGTCTTGGCTCTTTCTTAGGCAGGAAGCTGTATTCATGACTGGCTACCATGTTAATGTGACTGAATGCTGTTTACAATGTTGAAATTATTTTGAGTTAGCCTGCTGTCACAACTTTCTCAGAAAAGTGACCAAAATGCTGTTTTAGACAGAAGACGTGAGGTTCAGATGTTGCCAGACTTTAAGGAGTGCATGTCTGAAAGGGGCTTTAAATTTATGTGCATATTGATCTGTACCTCACCACAAACACAGCATTTGTGGTTTACATCAAGCCAAGCCTAAAGCACTGAGGTACAATATAAATCCACTACATAAAACAATTTCCATCTCATAGATTTTTGTCCTCTGTCCTACTTATTTTGGCAAATGACAGGGAATAATATGGGAACAGATATTAAGGTTTGTTCTTTTTGATCAACATATAAAGACAAGTTTAAACTACAAGACAAGAGAAGCTAGCAAGATGTCACGGGATGCTAATGACCTATCTCCTGCTGTTAACTTTAAATCCACTCTAGGTAACATACAGGTCAATAAAGTTCATCAAAGCAAGTGTAGTCACTTGTTAGAGATGTTTCTCTGGAGATAAGCTGCTCAGCAAAATCTGCAGAAGTTGTTAAAATCAAAGAGCTTATTTTGTTTATTTTCCTTAGGCAGCCATCTCTTTGTCTTTCTACAAACACGTGAATATTCTGCACCACATCAGTCCAATACAAGCACAGTTCTTTGACGAGTACGGTATATATCTGACATGACTCTGACATTTTTATTGAAATGATGTTTTACCTAACTTCTGAGGTTCTTCTGATGCTACGCTGGAAGCATTAAAGGACAAATGGTGGGCTTCAGAGTGGTCCATCACTTTATTCCACAACTCTTACATGTCTAAGGAAACATTTCTGCAGGATCATATGCAGTGCTATGGCGGTTTGAGAGCCCTTCAAACTTCAAAAGGTTTTTTTTTTTTATTAAAGCAATGTGTGTCTTGGTTTTTCTCAGTTCTCTGAAAAATTATGCAGAAGTTCTTGATTGGAATCAGAAATCTTATTCGTTTTGCGTGCATGAAAAGATCTTCAGCTGTATGTTATTGCAGCTGTACACCTCTGCAGTGATGTATGGGATATATGCAGTTTTGACTATCAATGAGAAGTTGATAAAGGTTTTTAGACTCAAGTGAAATAATGCATATTGCATTATTGTGATAACGAACACCTCTTTTGTTTTCTGTTTATTAGCTGTTTGCTTAAATTCTATAATGTGCAATACTTGCAGAGAAAGGGGTTTTATTTTGACTATGTTATTTATGTTCACATGGCTGGTGCTGCCAAATGCTGTTCTAGTTTCATCCATTGTTATCGAGTAAGTTATGACTTTGATCTGACCAGTTGTATGTGCACACAGGATGAACAGGTTGCCTCGCGGCGACCTGCACACCACAAAGGTATGAACTGAAGCTGGATAATGAATAAAGGCTTGTCAATGGCAAAGTGGTGTGTCTCTGAATTATGCATTATGGTTAATTTATGGTACGTTGGCATGTTGGTGCAGTGGTTAGCACTGTTGCCTGCTCCCTGTGCCTGGGTGGGTTCTTTCTTGGTACTCCCACAGTCAAAAGACATCCATTAAAATCCATTAAAAATTGATAGAAAACTCATATGAAGAAAAAGAGGTCTTTTGCTTTAACCAGCCTACATCAGTTTACTTCAAACAGCCAGCCAAATTTACTGTATGAAGCACCCTAGTTTCACCTAGTCAAAAACAAAGGACAAGGTGACTGAGCTAATTTGGGACACTGGGGTAAAACAGGCACTTAAACAGGGAACAGTGGAGCTGGCACTAAGTAAAATGAATGTAAAAGCATTGGAGGTGGGACAAGGGTCAGAGGGAAGGCATATTTAATATACAGGAAAAAATGGGGCAAAGAAAAGCAACTGGATTTGATAGAAAGGAAGAAATTTAATTCTCAAGACTCTGATTAAGTCAAATGATGATAAGTGCTGCAGTAAATGTAAGAAATCTGCCGTCATGAATAAAAATAAATCACAGAGTTCTGGTAGCTCACTGCTGAGATGTATAATCTACATCATTCATAGTAAATGTCCTTTTTCCTTCACATAGATCCTGTCAAGGTTCGCTGGAGGACTCACACGCAGGACTCACACGCAGGACTCAGAGGCACACTATTTATTACCATTCCACCAGGTGTATTTACAAACAGTGCAGAGGGGGTAGTGCTATATACAAAGAAGTGACAGGGAAAAAGGCTCCGGGGAAATCCAGGGAGGGAAAAGACACTCGCTCTTCTTCTGACTCTCTCCAAACACTCACACAAAGGAATCCGCTCGGGGAATGCAGGGTCGGGTCCAGGGGATCTAAGTACAGAAAGAAATACACGTCAGAGGTTTTGCGCAGGGAAAAAGAGAACTTGCTCAGAGCCGGGCTGCACTGACGTGAGTCACACACAACGATCCAGCGATGAGTAGAAGCCACTCCCTGGCTTAAATGCTGGCTGCGCTGATGAGGCCCAGGTGTTTCCTCTTCAGAGGGGCGTGGGCCGAGGGCGTGAACCCACCATGAGTTCCGCCCTGGTGAGAGAGAGAGCAAGAGAGAGAGGGAGAGAGAGAGAGAGCGAGAGAACTACTAGTCAGCGCCCTGCTGATCCCCTGGCCGTGACAGATCCATTGTACAAAAAAAGGAAATTTCTATATTAATCAGTGAGAAAAATTGAATTTTTCTGTTTTAATATTTTATTCATTACGTAATTAATATGGCGTGGTATGAATAGCCCACGAGAGAGATCTTTCTCAGCAAGAAAAGCTGTAAAAAAATAGTTGCAGTTAGACATGAAAAATCTATGCCCTCCTTCACATTTTCCACAGCCGTCTGGCAGACCGAATTGAACTTGCTGCTGTGCCAGAATAAATTAAATAAATACATAATTAAATAATTTAATTTGTCACTAATTAAATAAAATTTGAAATAAATAAAAAGATAAACTGGGAACTTCCTATCCCGTGCTGCATTCTGGAGAATACCCCTCCAGCTCACTGGGTGGCGGTAATCTAAGAACCAGCGGCAGAAGAAGACGAAGAAGAAGGACCCAGAAGCAGGCAGTCTGTTTGTGTTTCTGTGGGACTTTGTATCAGTGACTGATGTTTTGTCGACCTCTGTGGAAAGGTGAGGGATTAACGTGTCGTTGCTTTTTCTTGCTGGACTCAAATCAGACTTGCTTTTTTACGTTTATTTTACTGCGTTTAACTGACTGCTTAGTTTTAGAAAACACAGCATCGATGCTTTATTCTGTCATTTCAGGGACATTTCTTCTGCAAAAAGCGCTTTGTAGGAAGGATTTAAGGAAGAAGTCTTTCCACAGGTTGATTGTAGTTCCGTCACAGATTATGGATTTTAATCAGCAGACCATAAAGTAGATGGAATATTAACTTTTGCTACTAGGACAAGGTCCACTGTCCATTCAGCTTTTCGTGTTTTTATTGCTGTTCAAAGGTTGTTTCCAGTTGAACTTGGCCGGTTCCCGTCTATTAGAGTGACTCACTGCAGGTTATCCTTCTGTCACACTGCTGCAGGTAATGATGTGAAAATAGCATACGTTTCATGTCAGGTTCACTGACTGAGATGGTGTAGCTGATCTCGGTGTAGCTGATTCCTGCCCTCTTTATCACAGTGCAAAGACCGTGTTCTTTCAGCTTAGTTTAACCAGACACTTGGATAACTGTGTTCTTACCGCAGGGTCCAGGATGAGGAAGAAGCTCCTGTTGGATGTGGACTGTGGCGTGGACGATGCTCAGGCCATCATGATGGCCCTGGCCGCCCCCAGTGTGCAGATCTTGGGCATTACCTGTGTGCATGGAAACACCTCAGTGGAGAATGTGTGTAAAAACGCACTGCGAGTCCTGCAAGCCTGCAGTCACCTCGAGGTAAGATGCTCTTTAGTTGAACACTTATGTTAAAATCAACAAAGTAGCGTGACATTGTAGGAATTTCCTGGCCTCATGTGATAAGCGAGGTTGCATTTTATAGAATTGTCTAACAATGAGGAGTTGTTCCTCATGCCACATGACCCGATGCAGAAAGTGGACAGTTTGAAGGAGTTGGCTTTAGTTCTCTAGTTTTGTCCAAATTCTCTGAAAATGAAATCAAGCATCTCACATATTACAGTTATTATATTAAACCAGCTACTGCTTGTAAACAATTGGGCAAAGTTAAACATAAAGCACCTCGTCTCACTTAGAGGAATATTTTTGTTAATTCAGATTTGTCAAAGTGGTCAATTGTGGACATTTACTAAGTTTTTTATGCATGTATTCATAACATGAATAAAGAGAAATGAGCACACAAGTTACAGGATTTATGTTCACCCATTTCTCAAGTTAATCCTTCCACATGGAGATGTACCTTTGTACTTTTTTCCAAACATACAAAACAGAGGACTGCCAGTTTAGGCCGCTTCAAAAAGGCTTCAGGATAAATGAGTAACATAAATCAGATGTTTTATTAATCCTCTTTACCTTGGAGGATGTACCAGGCTGTATCTGTTATTAAAATACACACAGCACGGAGAGCATAGTACTCTCAGTGGTGAGCCCACCTTTATTTTTATTGCCTTTTTATTGCTCCTTTATGCTGTTTGTTTTATAATCAAATGCTTTAATTAGAAATTTTATTTGAATTTCCCTTTGGGAGAAATAAAGATTTTTATCTATCCTTCTATCTATGTTAGGTTGAGCTCTGTAGTTCTGGTCACTCTGAATACTTTCAGCTTTTTGTTTCTAGGAGAAAGAAGAACAGAATATATTCAGATGTCACTCCAGAAATAATTATTTTGGTTTTATTGATATACAAAGCTGAGAGGGCTTTTCCTCGCGATCAGCACTAACTAGCTTCCCTGCTAAAGTAAACCAATACTGTTCTTATTATGTTTACCACAGAATGACCATTGTCAGAAGGTGGAAGGTTTCTGATGGCAGGAAGGTCACTCACAGCACTGTTTTACCCCTGCTGAGAGGGATAAATCTGAAAATTAGGCAACTTGATTTTACACAATTTTTTTTCTTTCTAAGTGTTTGCTATGTAACATTCACACACATTCATTCTAGCAAATTGGGGTTAGTATCCTGCCCAAGGATATTTGGCACACAAACCTTCTAATGAGCAGATAACCTGCTCTACCACCCGAGCTACAGCCACCCCAATTCACATGCACACAGAAGGTGTAATAAACTCTAAGAGTTACCCACTTCTTGAAATTCACGTAAGTTTTATAATTGACTAATCTGACTTGCTCCCCCGTTTACAACCTTGTTTACGAGCCACTCTGACCTCTCAGGTCATCAGCAGATTGTTTAACTGTTCCCAGAATGAAATCTAAGTGTGCCGAAGGTGCTTTCAGTTAGTGTGTTCCAGCTCTTTGTAACAAGCTGCTGACCTGAGATCAATTACATCTGTGCTAACACACAGAAACAGACTCAAAAGCTTTTTATATTTAAACCTCTGTGTTCAGCACATTGAGTTTGAACATAATGAGATGTGTTCTATGAATAAAAATGCCATTGCTGCTTAGTGGCAGTATGTTCTAGCTTGAAACAGAAGTCTGAATGTTACAGTCGCCTAAAAGCTGAAGTTGGTTTGGGAATGCTGATGGAATAAAAGCAGGGATGAATTATAACCGGTTCTGCGTTTGCATGTTTCTGCAGATTCCAGTGTTTAAAGGCGCTGCTATGCCGATCCTCGGCGACAGCGGCATCAGCTCGGGGCACTTCCACGGGAAGGATGGCCTGGGAGACGCTCCTGACTCCAAGGCTCCCGGTTTGGAGCTTGTTCAGAAGGAAAACGCTGCGATTGCTATGATCAGGATTGTAAACGAGAACCCAGGAGAGGTGAGGAATGTGTGAGTGATAGACCCTCAGAATGAGATTGTGATATTTTCCATATTTCTCCTGTAAGTTGCTGTCAAATATGACAGTCTGTCTTAGGGCTGTGCGATATGACCAAAATCTCATATCCCGATATAAGACATCTATCGTCGATAACGATATAAATCACAAAAATGTAACATTTTCTGTAAATTCTGTGAATCTCTGGCAGCTCGTCTTGCGGGAAGTGTTTCCAGTTGCGCGTCATGTAGCTGGAGTCGAGTGTTTTAACCGATGCATGAAACTATACATTTTTAGACATAAGTTGTAACGGCCGCCGTTTTCTTTGTGAGTATTTATTACACCGCGTGCTGCGGGGAAAAGCCTGTTCTAACGTTTGAGTTTAAGGTTTATTTTTTAGCACCTGGCGGCTCTTTTTTACTTCTCATCCGTAAACAATCTGCTCTTTCACGTGATTCAGTTTATTTTGAAAAATCTCAACAGGATCTTGAGCTTTATTGTGAAAGGTTTATGTGGAACATAAACAAGCGGACACGCGATGCTGTTACCGTCGTTGTTGCTAACCATAATGCATAAAAACAGGCGCTTG